CAAAAGGTTGAGTTATTTATTGGTGATATAAATATTAATTTATTGGAAACCGAAAATAAAAGGGATATTGAGGATTTAAATAACTATTTAGAAACTTTAGGTATGGCAGGTTTTAAATCTTACATAAATAAACCAACAAGAGTTACCTCTACAACAAAAACCATTATAGATCATGCCTTTATTAGATTAACACAAAAAAATATTAAAATTACACCATCTATTATAAAATCGGCCATTACTGACCACTATACGCTCTTAATTAGTTTTAATTTTGAATAGAAAATAAAAAACGTTGTTACAAATCAGATATTTCTAAATCAAATAAATTTTAAAAATTTACAAAAATCCTTAAAAGAAGAAAACTGGGAAGAAGTCCTAAATATTCAAGACCCTGAAGAATGCTATGCTATTTTTATGAATAAAATACAAACCCATATAAACACAAACACACAATTTCAAATAATAAATAATAAGAACAAAAAAATAAAACCTTGGATCTCACAGGGATTAATAAAATCTATACATCATCGTGACCTCTTAAAGGAACTTCTAAATAAAAATGAATCTGCAGAAAAAAGATAAGAATACAGGCAATATAGAAACCGATAGAAACAAACTAAATTTGCTAATTAAAACAACAACAAAAATTATTACAAAAATAAAATTTTAGAAGCCAATAAAAACTATAAAAAAATTTGGCAAACCATAAATGAAGCTACAAACAGTAACAAAAAAAATAACCAACCTCTTATACAAATAAAAATGAAAATGGTACAGTATTTAAAGAAAATAAAGACATTGCAAACTGTTTTAATAATTTCTTTACAAACATTGGTAAGGAAATGGCTTCTAAAATTAGAAAACCCTTACATGATCCTGTTTATGCTAATAACAATAAAAATAATAGCTCTCTTTTCTTAAACCCAGTAAATGAAGCAGAACTATTGCCTATAATAAGTCAGTTAAAATCTAATTCATCACCAGGACCGGATAATATATCTGCTAAAGTAATTAAAACATGTTATTTATACTTTTTAAAACCTCTTTCACACATTATAAACTTGTGTTTTAAGAATGGGCTAGCTCCAAAACAATTTAAAGAATCGGTTACAATTCCCCTTTTTAAATCGGGTGATAAAAACAATCCCACTAATTATAGGCCAATAACTCTTATTAACAACTTTGCAAACATTGTTTGAAATCTCGTCTAACTTCTTTCTTACAAAAAAATTAAATTCTAAGCAAAAGCCAGTTTGGCTTTCAAAAAAATATAAGCACCAAGGATGCCTTAATGGAACTCCTTAAACACATTTATTACTCAAAAAATAAAAATAAAAAGTGCCTTGCAATATTTCTTGATTTGGCCAAGGCATTTGATACTGTTGACATTAATATTCTTTTAACTAGAATGGAATCTATTGGCATCCGCGGTGCTGCACTGGGCGTTTTCGACTCATACCTCCAGGAAAGATACCAGACTGTAAAAATAAATGATAAATTATTCCAACAATTTACAATCCAGGAGCAAGTAAACCAAAAACTACAAAATGAAATAAGTCAAATTAAAAAAGAGCTAACTGAACTTAAGCACGAAAAGAATCAAAGAGATCAAGAAAAACTTGAAAATAATATCTTAATTCAAGGCATACCAATAGTGAAATCTCCAGAAAATACGGAAGAAATCGTCTGGTGATCTTACCAAAGTACTTAAACTGGAAGAAAAGGAGTTTAAAACATTTAGAATTGGAAAAAAGGAGGTAGGCGAAAGTGCACCCATTAAGGTTATTTTTAGAAGTGTAGGAGACAAACTTACCTTTATGAACACAAAGAAGAAACTAACAACTGAAGATTTAGAATACAATACGAAAAACAACATCTACTTTAACCAGGAGCTTACCAAATACAACCAAGAACTATTTAAACTGACACGTGAATATAAAAAGGCAAATGATTGGAAGTTTGCTTGGGTAAAAAATGGCAAAATATTATTGAGGAAGGATGAAAACTCCAGACCCCTAACAATTAATTCACCCGATGATTTACCAAAAAACTGAAATCTTTACCCAAAAATACCTCTAAATTAAACATCCTATATCTTAACACACGCAGCCTAAGACACAAATTAGATGAAATAGACCTAATTATTAATCAAAAACATCCCGACATATTGGTGTTTAGCGAAACATGGTTATACAAGGAAGAAGTGGATTATATGCAGTTTATAGGATATAAGGGAGCTCACGTATGTAGGGAAAATAGAGGAGGTGGGGTATCAATATATACAAAGGAGCAATAGGAATATGTTGTAAAATTAGAAATTAATAAGGAGGGTAATAACATTCTACAAGTCGAAATACCATCAATACAGACTAATATTTTTGGAGTATATAAACAACCAACCAGCCAAGCTAATTATTTCCTAAATTTACTCGAAAGCACTATGAAAACAAAAAATTCAGTATATATTGGTGACTTTAAAATGTGTCTTTTAGAGAATAACCTTAAATGTAAAGAATACTGTGAAATAATAATGTCAAATGGCTTCAAACTAATAAATAATATCTCTGAAGATTTTCATACAAGAGTGGATGAACGTACAGGCAGAAAATCAATACTGGATCACGTATTTACCAATATAACCAACAACATAAATATTAATCTAACTGACACACATATTTCTGATCACAAAATGTTGGAGGTTATGATAGAAGTCAAACACAGTATGCAACCCAGAAAACAAAAATATGTATCAAAAATTGTCAATCTTAACAAACTAAAAGAAAATATTAGTCCAATTTTGCAAAATATACCTAACCACAACCTCAATTTTAATATCCTAATCAAAACTATACAGGAAGAACTGAAAAAGGTCACAAAAACAACAACTGGAAATTTCACAAAAAACTTAGGAGAAGGATGGTTCACTTTAGAATTAAAAAATAAAATGAAAGAAAGAGACAAGGCATATATAAAAATTAAACAATTTCCTACTATTACTGAATACAAAACCTCATTTATTAAACATAAAAAGGAAACAAAAGCACTAATTAAGAAGAATAAAAGACTGCACATAAAAAAAAGGATGGATAATGCTGAAGGATCCCCAAAAAAACAATGGACAGTTATTAAAGATGCATTAATGGTTAAAGATAATAAAACCTACATTACTAAAGCTTTAACAAATAATACGATAACGGAAAACCATAAAGAAATCTCCAATATCTTTAATAACTATTTTACTACAGTTGCTACAAATATTATAAGCACTGATACAAATAATGTATATAACGAAGAAACTCTAAAAGAACATGCAGACAGGTCTATGTATCTAAAACACACAACAGACATGGAGATACAAAAAATCATTGGAAAAATGAAAAATAATGCAGCTCCAGGAGATGATGGTATAAAAACAATAGTACTAAAATCACTTAAAGTGATAATATTCCCATATATATCAACAACAATAAACAAACACTTAAAAAACGGTACTTTTCCAGACATTTTAAAAATTGAAAGAATAACCCCTATACATAAAAGTGGACCAAAACATATAGCCTCTAACTATCGCCCAATAACTGTAATATCATCCCTGGCTAAAATAATGGAAACTGTACTAAAGAAAAGACTGCTAAACTACCTAAGAGAAATAGAATTTGATACTACACTGAGAGAACGAAATATTTGTTAATAACGAGGCACGTTAACTATTAACATATCGTTGAGTTGGATATGGCGAAAGAAATATTAATTTGGGTCTAAGAACTGGTTAAGTTGAATTAAAGAAGCTCATAACGTATTAGCAAATGTAGATATATTAACTGTTAATATATCGAAATTCCATTTTGTAAAAAACTACGGCAACGTCACATGCTTGCGCATATTGCATTTAAAATTATGTTGACAAATGTTAAAACGTTTTATTCGAATTTATGTATATTAACTGTTAATATATCACAGTTCTAAGACAACTTTATCCTTTATTTGTCTGAAACACAGTCACCGGACGATGTTTTAATAATTAGTATATAATTTGTTCACGATTAAGAAATTTTTTAATAGTTAACAAATATTTTAAAAAAATCGCAACTGTTTTGATTTCTTAATATTAAATATTTCGTTTTCTCAGTGTAGTCAACAACACGGCTTCTTAGACCGGAAGAGTACCCAAACTGCCATTGCCACTGAAATGGACTATATCTATGAGAATGTTGATAAAAAAGATCAGTACTAGCAATTTTTTTAGACCTATGCAAAGCCTTCGATGTGGTTGATCACAAGATACTTCTAAAAAAACTTAAACTACTTGGCATAAGAGAAAAAAATCACCTTATTTTTGCAAGCTACTTAAAAAACAGACTGCAATATACAGTGTGCAACAACACAACAAGTGATAAAAATCTAGTCAAATATGGAGTCCCACAGGGCTCAGTCTTAGGTCCACTACTGTTCTTAATATATATAAATGACATTAAAAACTGTGATATTTTCTATGATGGGGAAATAGACACAATCTTCAGCAAAGCTCAAAATGATCTCGAAAAAATCAATAAGTGGACAAAAAACAATAAAATCAAGCTAAATGAAAGTGTGTATATATGACATTTAATAAACCTAACTGTGATAACCTGTACCAATTAAAAATCTGTGATAAAAATATTAGGAAAGTAGACCAGTTTTGCTATTTAGGACTTACAATAGACAATAAACTCAACTTTGAAACACATATTGATAATATTAGAAAAAAGATTAACAACATAAGCTACTACTTAAAACGAAATGCACAATATTTTAACAAAAAAACAATATATACCATATACTATGCTTATATCCACTCCATCTTAAATTATCTATGCACATTCTGGGATCAATCTCGAAAAACTGATATTAAAAGAATACAAACAACTCAAAATCGTGTAATAAAAGTTCTGTTCTGCAAGCATCATAGGACACATACAAAAGACCTTTATAATGAACTTAACTTACTAACAATAAATGAGATGATAAAACTTGACAGTGTTAAACTTATCTACAAAATAAAAAATAATTTAATTGAATCCAGTATAAACCTGAAAAATAACTGTGATATTCATAATTATCCTACAAGAAATCGATATGATATATTTATACTTCCTAATACATGTAATACTGGTAGAAAAAGTCTAACTAGAAATGCAGCTCAACTATACAATGAACTTCCAAATGAAATTAGGAACATTCAGTTGGCTTATGGGACATCTTAGTTTGGATGTAAGGGTGGAACTAAAAAAGAGCACTTTATAACCAAACAAATATCAATGCTTTCCAGCGGGCTGTAAAAAATCTAATAATTGAAGAAAAAAACTACAATACAGAGTATTAAGTGAATTATATATTGTATAAACTTGTTACAATCACTACATTTTTTATATTGTATTTTACTTGTTATGGACCTTTGGTCTTTTTGGATAAATAAATAAATAAAAAAAAAAATAAGGAGCTTAGCTATCCCCTTTCCGTCCTCATAGGTGTGCCCCAAGGGACAGTATTGGGGCCCATTCTATTTTTGATTTATATTAATATCTTAGAAAAAATACCTACAAATGGTAAGTTGATATCATATGCGGATGATACGGTAGTGTATCTTGAGGGCGAGTCTTGGGATGATGTATTCTTGAAAGCTGAACTGCCTATGCAAAAAATATTTGAAGGGTTAAACCTAAGTTTATTGAGTTTAAACATCCAAAACACTAAGTTTCTATGTTTTACACCTACATGTTCTGATCAATCAAAAAAAAACATGTTTCCTTGTTTACTCCTCAGTTAACAGATTCTCTTGTATACATATATATATATTGCGCAAAAAATATTTGTATCTTTATTATTTCAAAATATACATTTTTTGTTAGATTAGAGTAGGTTTTATCACACACAAGTCCCAGACTTAGGTAAAAAGCCTAAATGCAACTTTTTTAAAAAATTTCGTTTGTATTTATTATTAATTTTTCTCTTATCTTACATATATATTTTTTATTATTATTGTAATCTACGTTTGTTATAGAAAACTTATGTATATTTTGATTGTTTGCTTAAATAAATTGAATTGAATTGAAAAAAACTAGAATTCATGCTAGAGGTCCATTTTCGTTGGACACTTTAATCACAACAATAAGAATAATGTTACTTTTTTTCCTGCTATAATTAAATCTAGTTTAACAGACCATTACACTACATTAATCTTAATATTTTTTTTAAATAATAACAATAAACAAATACGTAATAGAAAATCAATAACTATAACTAATTTCCAAATGCTAAATGAAAGTTTAAAAAACGAAGATTGGTCTAATATACTTACTTAAATTAAATGATCATGAGCTTGCATATAATTTATTTATTGAAAAATTAAATACAAACCTAAATAAAACCAAAAAACCATACAAAATAAAAACACAAAAATTAAACCGTCCTTGTGTAGACTAATCAATTCAATAAGGCATCGTGATTTATTAAAAAAGAAACTAATATCTAATTACACCGAAGAAAATCATAAAACATTTAAAGCGTATAGAAATAAATTAAACAAAATAATAACAAAAACTAAAAACGATTATTATAAAGATGAAATTAAAAAAAATAGTAATAATTAAGGCCCGGATTTTAGGTAAAACACCTTTTGTTGGTCTTTTAGGTTTTAAGGATATTTTTTTGTATTTGCCCGTTTTATAAAAAATGGAGTCATCTGACTAAGTTTTATTTGACCTAAAATACCTTTTTTTATATTTTTTTCACCTATTTTCCTTTTTTGCACCTAAATTGTATTTTTAATACCTAAAATGAACTTTTTTTACCCGTCCTGTGATGTTGAACGATCATTCTCTTGGTTTAAAAATGTTTTGACTGATAAACGCACTAGCTTTACTTCTGAAAACTTGGAGAAATATTTTGTCTGTCATGCATATAATCGTTAAATAAATTAATACAATTTATTTTTTTTTATTTTAGAGTTCCTATTTTGTTTTTTTTTTTGTAATTTTAGAGTTCCTATTATGTTTTTTTTGCTATTTTACATTATTTGTGATATGATATATTTACTTTTTTAAAGAATCTTTTGTTTTATTTGTTATTTTTCCAACCAAACATTTTTGTTCAGTTTATGTTAATAATTAATATTATTTTAATAACTATTTAATTTTTAATTTAAATCCTTTATTGCCGGACATTAACAGAGCAATTATAATGTAACTAAAACTACATAAGACCTATGTATGGTTTTACAACGATATCGACATTATAATGAAAACATTTTATTTCAATAAATCAGCTTATTTTTTTTATTTAAGTACCTAAAATGTAGGCACCTAAAATATTAACCTAATTTTATAACTATGTGACCTATTTTTTGCATTTTTTTACTTTTTTATAACCCAAAAATACGGGCCAACCAATATTAACTTTTTAATTAAGTACCTAAAATATAGGTACCCAAAATAATAACCTATTTTATTAAAAATATCACCTAATTTAGAAACCTTTTATCACTTTTTTATGAAAATCCGGGCCTTAGTAATAATATAAAAAAAAGTCTGGGAAATAATAAACAACGCATCAAATAAATGTACATATAAGAAACATGAGAAGTATAATATAGTTAATGAGAAGCAAGAAAGTATCAAATCTGATAAATTAAAAGCTAACTACTTTAATGCCTTCTTTAGAGATATTGGTGAAAAAATGATTAGACAAATTAATAATGGTAACAAATATAAGTTAGAAACAGAAAAATCGTTAAATAATTCAATCTATTTTAAGGAAATAACCGAAAATGAAGTAATTGTTTACATTTCATCATTAAAAAATAATTCAACACCAGGACCGGACGGCTTAACCGCAAAAATTATTAAATCCATACACTTAAACATACTCAAACCCTTGGTATTTATTTTAAATCTGATTTTTAAAACAAGTAAAATTCCAGAAGCCCTAAAAAGCTCCACAGTTGTTCCTATTTTTAAATCAAGTGATAAATCTCTTGCCACAAATTATCGACCGATATCTTTAATCAATAACTTTTCTAAAATTATGGAAAAATGCATAAAATCAAGAATAGAGAATTTTTTGAAAAAATTTAAGATTTTAACTTTAAAAGAATTTGGATTTCGAAATAATTTAAGCACTGAGAATGCTGTGGTGGAATAAGTAAAAAAGATAACTGGTGAACTCAATTTGGGCCATAAGTACCTGGTGGTGTTTTTAGACTTGGCCAAAGCATTTGACACTGTCGACCATGAAATACTGCTTCGTAGATTGTCTAACATAGGGATAAGAGGTGAAACAAATAAACTATTAAAAAATTACCTAATGGATAGACAACAAAAGTTAAAAATTAATGAAACATACAGTGACACAATAATAAGGTCCTATTTTATTTTCCATTTATATAAATTTCCTGTATGACATTGACAATCTAAAAGATAATCTTATATCTAATGCGGATGATAGAGCGGCAGTATTTTGTGGTCACACGTGGGATGAAACATTTAACTTTGCTAAGGAAGGCATGAGAAAAATAAAAAAATGGTTAGACAGCAGCCTTCTTAGCCTTAATATTGATAAAACAAAATTTATAACGTTTAGCTTGACAAATGCAGGACAACCTAAGAAAGAAAGTTTTCAAATTCACTCCAACAATTGTTTAGATAAATGTAAATGCCCTTACATTCTTAACCCTTAACTACTCGCGCCAATTTTTGTAACATAAGTGGTCGCGCGGTGCACTAAGTGCTCCGCTCCTTAAAATGGCTATATTGCTGAATGTTTTCAATTTTAATATTACTTTTGCTTATATTCGAATGAATTAACTCTATTTTTATTAAAACACAATATTTATTTTAAAAAGAAACAAAAAGCAAATAACAAAAAATAAAACAAACAAAAAAATTATTACTTCTACTCAGAAAAGAAGAAATCAGAATGAAATTTAGCCGTTCTATTTTTATTTGTGTATTCTTAGAAAAATGTATACCTTAAAAACCATTAGGTTTTAAATTCCATATTTTGTTGATTTAGAAATATTTTACATTGCAAAAATTGAAATTTAGTTACGTTTTAGTGAAGTATTTCTAAATCAATCTTAAGTTTTCTGTCCATAACTTTGAAATTAGTAGTTTAAACTGAATATGCCGTCGACAGTGCATGTTAGACACATCAGTCATAGGTTACATAGAAAGGGCATTTAATTCCAAGAAAACGACAAAAAGTTATAGAGATTTTAATAAAAACGGAGCACTCAGTGCACCTGCGCGACTAGTTAAGGGTTAAAGTAAATAAAATTAAATATTTAGGCCTAATTATAATTATAATCATAGTATGAGGTTTTTAATGTGTGCTTTCCATTTTAGATTTTGATCTATAATTATATTATAGATCAAAATCTAAAATGGAAAGCACACATTAAAAACCTCATACTAACACTAAGGAGGCTGTTTTCCCAATTTTACACATTGAGGTCTTTTTTAAATCATAAAAATCTAATTATTTGTTACTATGCAATGGTGGAGTCCATAATAAGATACTGCATAATAGCTTGGGGGAATGCGTTAGATACTACTTTAAAAGGGCTTGAAGTAACTCAAAATATAATTCTCAAAATAATTTATTTTAAAAACCGCTATCATCCTTCGGAGTCACTGTACACGGAACAACTTTGTATTAAAAAAATCTTTGTGTTTCAAGTGTGTTTGTGGATGTTTGAGTCTATTGATAATTTTTACATTCCCAAGCATAATTACTCCACCAGGATTTTGGAAAAAGATGTTGTCAATTTACCTATATTTTATTTTTTAGACTTACAAAAATGTATTTTTTATTATGGTCCCAAATGGTATAATATTATACAAAAAAAAATTAAAAATTTATCAAAAAATCTACGTAAAGCCGATTTAAAAACGTTTATACAAACATCTGATCTGAATATATTCTACAAGTTTCTGAATAATAAATAGTTTTGTATATGTATATAGGTACATATTTTATAATCCTTTAATTTCATTTAATACGTGACTGTGTCACTTTCTTCACGCCAATGTCATCGAACGTAGTGTTTTGCTTGTTTTGTTTACCTTTTTTATATATAAATATTATTGTATTACAAATATTTAAAATTTAATTGAAATAAATGTAGCACTGTATAGTAAAAAATAATCTTAGTTCATCACACAAGAATGTATTTATAATTTTTTCCATTTATTATAATCTGCAGCACAAATCCTTTTGGATTTAGGCAGAATCAAATTTAAAATATAATTTAACTATATAAAATAAGAATGTACAATAAAAAATGTCAAAAAATGTAATTATGATGATGATGGTAAATAAATAAAT